ATTTTAAAATGAAGGGATAAAGTATCATAGTTGAGCATAGCATAAATTACACACAAAAACTTTTATTGTTGAATCACAAACATTTTGGGTTTTCATTCAGATCAATCTAATAACACATTAAGAGTTTGGCGATTTTCTGTATTTGTTCATCAGCAGTTGAATACAAATTTAAGAAAAGTTATGATTTACATTTTTTTTTTAAATATTGTTTCATTAACGTAACCTGGCAGCAGCCAGATTGCAGCGAATTTTGACTTCTCGTAAGCTGATAAACTCCTGTCGGAAGAAAAGCACAGACATCTTTCCCATCTACAAATGGAAGTGCTTCACTTTGCCTCCTTTTTAAAATGAAACATTTTTGCTATATTTCCTAAAATTTAGTCAATTGTGGTATCAACAGGCGAGTCCTCCAGCATAGCCATGTTTGTTATGCCCCAGCAAGGCCCTTCTGACTCTCATCATTCTTGCATGTCCCACCCCAAAAAACACTGCTTGCATGTCATTGGTCCGACCTGATGATGGTTCCAAGATGGATGTATTGGCATGAGTCTTTCAAGATGGATTTGGTGTGAGAAAGAAAATTCAGATCTCATGACAATCCTGCTTGCAGCACAACATTTACGGTCTTATGGCCAAATTGTATGGCTTGAATTCCTTACACGTCTTTAAACGTTACCTTGCCCACTTCGTAATTTTTCCCTTTTGGATGAAGTTTTTTTTTTTTTTTTTTTTTTTTTTATTGCATTAGATCAATAAACATTTGACGTTCATCAAATATCCCTTTCGATAATTTATATAGTCCCCATCTGTCATAAGATAAGCAAGAAGGAAAGAAACTCTAATTACCCAATTTTTTATATTTTTTGCAACCAAGACATATTGGTCCACACATTTACCCAATTTGAATAATGCAGAACCAAATTCAGCCTTTTTGTATTTCACAGTGAAAAGCAAAAACACTGCTGACCACTTTTAAATAATCATAATTCAGTGATAAACCTGCTCTTGCATGATCCAGGTTTCTGCCTGTACACGAGGGTATCTGCTCGAGTAGAACAGTAACATGGAAAACTATTTATTTTCCTCCCACGCACACATGCACACACACATTCCTCTGGAGCGAGTAGAAAGGAAGGTCACTCATATTTCCCTTGCAGAAGGCTGGCACACTTGTGTTTACATTTTTGTCCTTACACCCCCATTGCTATAGCAACTCATTTCTTATTTTGTCCTGTTGTGTGGGTGTCTTTTGCAGACATTAGCATTGCTTGTAATGTGCAGAAATAAAACTATGCTCGACTGGATGTAGATGATGAAGCTCTGGGATGTCGTGGAAACCATAAATATTGCAACCCTTCTATATCTGTTACCTTGATGTTCAGCAGTTTTTCACAATTTCTTTTGGTAAAGTGACTGCATCATTTGATGCTCACCCACCATAAACCTAATGGTTAGAGCTATACTTGATGGATTTATTCTGCTAATACGATACAAGTATCTAGATGGATTGCAACACTATAAACTAGAAAATAAGAGTCCTTCAATTTATTTGAAGGAACTTGTATCAGTTCCGGTTGTGCAGCTTTTTCTTATTTAGGGCAAAAACATATGTCATTTAGCTCCTCAAAAAAATTGCCATTTAGGAAAAAGAGGATTTCAAATCCAGCAATGGGATGTTTTGGCATACACATTCATAGGTAAACTGCTCATTGAACATTTGTAATGAAAAAGAAACTGAGCCTGTAAAGGTGGTTGTTCAGGAAGCTGCTGTACTCGAGCATATAATTGGGAGGTTGAGTGGAAGGAAAAAATTCTGGTAATAAAAGGGCATGCATTTATATACTGTGGTCTTGAGGTTTATGAAGGATTTACAATTTCAGTACAATACTATCTTACCAGTCACTGGCTGCATTGATGCAAAATAAATGTGTAAAAGAGCATTGCATAAAAACAATTCTCATTGGATGTAGAAAGTAGAAAGGCACATATTTCTACTTTGTATTTTTAGTAGGGATGAACCAAAAGGAACATTTTTGGCCGAAAAGTAAATGTTTTTTAATTATTTGGGGAAAAAACTGATTTTAAAGTGTATTGCTGTGTAATTAATTTCTAAAATACATATGAACTTATTTATCAAACTGGTCTTTCTAAATGATCTAAACTTTGATGTACCTGGATATACCTATGAACTTGAGGTATTGATGTGTGACCTTTGTTTAAACAGTCTGCAAAGCATTGATCGAACCCACAAAACTGAACCGGTGCTTCATCTGTCTCGCTTTTACTTCCTGATATAAACACAGCTGAGCCTATTTTACTTGATATATGGTGTCTTTTTTTCCATTTTATGTTGTTTGACTAAACTTTGTTAATGCACTTAAAACACAAGCTCTAACTGTTTTAGAGGAGAAAAAAGGGCAGTTTGCAGCAAAAACAAAAGGGGGCAAAGTAAGCAGACATTCAGAGATGTTCCAGAGGATATTGTTGGAATTCAATACGGCCTTTAAGAAAACAAACACACTTTTTCTTTCTCTCCTTGCATTTGACCTTCATTAACCATCTAACCCTCTTTTAACTGTTATGTTGAGTATTATATTGTTTTACATAGTTTTTACTAGGGATGGGGATCGAAACCCGGTTCTATGAAGGACCCGGTTCCACTTTTTTCAAAACCCGAAAATCAATAACGTTTGGGCTTATCGATACCACTATCGAGTCTGGTCGGAGGTCCTGTAACATAATTGTGTGTCCCTCGTCGCGTCACAGCATTTAAATCTAATCAATCCAAACACTGCAGCATCTCCACCAATGTTTTGGAATGAAATTGTAAGCAAACAGATATTAAAAGTAAAACAAGTGAAGTCTGGCAGTTAACTTCGCTCGCGACTTGAGGATGGCTGAATGGACGAAAAGGTCTAAAGTTTGGCTTCATTTTACCAAGGTCAAAGATAAAGAAGAAGCGAGATGCAACTTGCGCTGCAAAATCATCTCTCTAAAGGGGGAAAACAACCGCAATGGCCAAGCACATTAGTATTGTGCATGAAATAAAGGCCAAATGCAGTACCTTCGACTGTCTCCGGGTTGAAAAGACTCCTCCTCCTGCTGCTGCCGCCGCCGCACCACAGTCGGGCCCGTCTTCATCATCCACTCAGAGTAAACGCGCACACAGACTTTGTAGCCTGTCCGGTCAGTTAAAAACAGTAATTGTGAAATCCGTGTTGTAATCGGCAGCATACAAGCTAGTTAGCTTGAAAAGTAAATCAAGTTTCAGACGTGCTGCGTGATGATGTGTTCAGATTGGCTCAGTAAAACGACAATTAGGTTATCATGATGCGTTCAAGTGTAACGTAAAGAAAAGGGAAATTGAGTTTTTGGCGAGAAACATGAGTAATACAGTTGTATATTGCTTTAATTATTTTAGAATATATAATTAAACTACTGATGCCAACATTTATTAAAAATTACATTTAATTTAAAATACAATTATTTATTTGCTAAATATTTTCCTAATCACTAAAAACATGATGAAAAGTGACCGTAGACAATACATTAACCAACAATTGTGAAAATTTATGTAATTTTTTTAACCAAAAGAAGACATTTCTTCAAATAATTTTTTTCCCCACTTCCTTTCTGTCTGTTAAAAACATATTGCCGCATCGTCTTTCCACCAAATAACAGAAAAGTATCGATAGTGGTATCGATAAAGACTCGAATCGATAAGAAGTATCGATAAAGGTATCGATATCAATAAATATTAACGACCCCCATCCCTAGTTTTTACATTGGGTTATTTAGGACAATACATTTAGGCATTTGATCAATTTCTATTTGTAAAATCGGCTATTTTATTATATTTATGATATTTTATTATTTAAAAAATAAATAGATTTTTTAAAAGGAAATTTTACAACTGTAAATATACAGTCATATGTTTATATTACTGCTTTTTTGTATTTTGTACTGTTTTCAAGGCTCTACTTTAAAAAAATGACATTTTCTGGCGAGCTGTACTTAACGAAATTTCCTTTTGTTTACATTCCTCTACACAAAATGACAAAATCTGTCTAAGTCTAATATGGCTAAAAACTAGTCATCAGTGCTTCACTAGTTTTTGTGCGAAGGTGCTCCAAATTGAGACCTGACATTTCCTGTCTATAGATTTTACTTTAAAAGCTTCCCAGCAGCAAACCACAGGAAGGAAGCGGCATTTATCACAGAACTCAGCGACTTACTTTTGCCTCTGCATAAAACTCAATTCTCATCTGTCACTCATGTCGGTGTAAAAGGTTTTTTTTTTTTTTTTTTTTTTTTATTCCCTAAAATAAACACTTTCATAATACAGGAAACGGTCTGTGTTTTTCACACCGAATGGAGTAAAATGTTTGTTTGTTTTTTCACTACTAATTATTTTCTAATTTAAAGTTTAGATTTTTATGGCTGAAAATTAAAAAACATGATTGGATAATTATTATACTTATTGTATTTGTATATTTGTTTTTAAGATGTAATAATCACAAAGTTAATTTATAATTTTCATTCAGGTGAAATAAGCTAAAAAGAACTATCTTATCAAATTGACAGTTTATTGAAATATATCCATAGAGTAGAAATTATAACTAAAAGCAGAATTTTGTTTTGTTTTTTTCACTCTGCATACTTTTATAGGAATTGCTAATGAAGACATACAACGTAATAAATTTCCATCCAATCATAATCTTAATATAGAGCTCTTTTTTTTTTTGTCTTAAATGTGACCAAGCTGTTACTCTGACTGTGCTTCCCCTCCTTTTTAATCGGGCTTTGTTCTGTGGTTCCATTAGGGGCTATTATGGTCAAAACACATCAGCTCACATTAGTTTGATGAAAATAAATATGCCAAATGTGCAGGAATGTCTCACGGCTTCATGCCTGAAACATTTTCAAACATTGTTTTTTAACCTGCTCTTTAACTTTTTATTTTTTATTCTAAACTTAAGCTTTTCTTCTCATTGATCCAGCTCTGCTTACGACCGGGACAACAAGATCCGCGTGGCCATCAAAAAGATCAGCCCCTTCGAGCACCAGACCTACTGCCAGCGCACCCTGAGAGAAATCAAAATCCTGCTGCGCTTCAAGCACGAGAACATCATCGGAATCAATGACATCATCCGGGCGCCGACCATCGATCAGATGAAGGACGTGTATCCTAGTGCTTGGTTTAATGATTATGGTGGTATACTCAGGTTTTTAAAATGTGTATATGGTGCTCAGAGAAACATGGAGAGTGGAAAGGCCCACATAAGCCTTTTTTTTTGTTTGAGTAGGGATGTTCATTTGTATTTTATTACATAATGGCCACCTGTCACCATGTATTTGCCTCAGATGCTCTTCACTGTCTCACAACAGCAGTAAATTGAGTCCATGTCGCCGTCGTTGGGCGGTTTTGCATCAATGCAGAGAAACAAAATGGTCCATTATGACTGCTAGATTATTGCCTTCAATTAGTTGAAAGGTTTAACTGAAAAAAAAAAAATGCTACACCCTTGCCTAGCACTCTTAATTTAAAGCTTTTTTTATAAAAAAAAAAGCAGTTGCTATGGTAATATAGTGCAAAAAAAGGTTAAACAACATGTAAAATTGAGCTGACGTTAAGCTAACATTACAGACAAAACCCTTGGTTTGTGAAATTTGGCTTACAAACAGAAATATCTTTAATTGTACAGTTTAGTGGCCTGCATCCCAGACCTAAAGAAACTGGATCGTCTGACCGCGACAGAAAAAAACTGGCTTGAAAAAGAGAGGAGACTGTTGGAGCTGCTTTGTTGGCTTTTATGAGAACATTTTAAAAGCCACAGCTGTGCTGTTAAGTAAACCTACATGTAATATACACTATATTGCCAAAAGTATTTGCTCACCCATCCAAATTATTGGAATCAGGTGTTCCAATCACTTCCATGGCCACAGGTGTATAAATTCAAGCACCTAGGCATGCAGACTGTTTTTACAAACATTTGTGAAAGAATGGGTCGCTCTCAGGAGCTCAGTGAATTCCAGCGTGGAACTGTGATAGGATGCCACCTGTGCAACAAATCCAGTCGTGAAATTTCCTCGCTCCTAAATATTCCACAGTCAACTGTCAGCTGTATTATAAGAAAATGGAAGTGTTTGGGAACGACAGCAACTCAGCCACGAAGTGGTAGGCCACGTAAACTGACGGAGCGGGGTCAGCGGATGCTGACGCGCATAGTGCGAAGAGGTCGCCAACTTTCTGCAGAGTCAATCACTACAGACCTCCAAACTTCATGTGGCCTTCAGATTAGCTCAAGAACAGTGCGCAGAGAGCTTCATGGAATGGGTTTCCATGGTCGAGCAGCTGCATCCAAGCCATACATCACCAAGTGCAATGCAAAGCGTCGGATGCGGTGGTGTAAAGCACGCCGCCACTGGACTCTAGAGCAGTGGAGACGCGTTCTCTGGAGTGACGAATCGCGCTTCTCCATCTGGCAATCTGATGGACGGGTCTGGGTTTGGCGGTTGCCAGGAGAACGGTACTTGTCTGACTGCATTGTGCCAAGTGTAAAGTTTGGTGGAGGGGGGGATTATGGTGTGGGGTTGTTTTTCAGGAGCTGGGCTTGGCCCCTTAGTTCCAGTGAAAGGAACTCTGAATGCTTCAGCATACCAAGACATTTTGGACAATTCCATGCTCCCAACTTTGTGGGAACAGTTTGGAGCTGGCCCCTTCCTCTTCCAACATGACTGTGCACCAGTGCACAAAGCAAGGTCCATAAAGACATGGATGACAGAGTCTGGTGTGGATGAACTTGACTGGCCTGCACAGAGTCCTGACCTCAACCCGATAGAACACCTTTGGGATGAATTAGAGCGGAGACTGAGAGCCAGGCCTTCTCGTCCAACATCAGTGTGCGACCTCACAAATGCGCTTCTGGAAGAATGGTCAAAAATTCCCATAAACACACTCCTAAACCTTGTGGACAGCCTTCCCAGAAGAGTTGAAGCTGTTCTAGCTGCAAAGGGTGGACCGACGTCATATTGAACCCTATGGATTAGGAACGGGATGTCACTTAAGCTCATATGTGAGTCAAGGCAGGTGAGCAAATACTTTTGGCAATATAGTGTAGGTTGGAGAATAAAGTTGTTGCTCTTTTTTATCCTAAAAATAGAAAACAAGCAGCTTTTCTGTTTCACATTGAATAGCTGAGACTTGTCTGTTTTATGGACTTTCTGGAGAAGTGACTGCTGTAGTGGGTGATTCTGGCACTACTTAAAGCAAGAAGTAGTTTATAATACAAATAGTATTTAATTGCACACTTTTAATGCCTTACATTATGGCCACAATTGGTGTATCAGATGGGGGGGGGGGGGGGAAGCAAAGCATAGAAATGTAAGCTGGGTTATCAAATCTCTGAAACCTTAAGCTCTTGTAGAGTTTTCCCAATCTACTCTGGTCAGTGTTGATGCTGCACAGCATGTTGAATTGCAATGTTCAGAAGAATTTTCTTTTACAAATGGTACAGTTTGCTTATTTATTAAGAAAACTACGGGTATGATGTATGTAATTTCTTGTAGCTATTTGGTCAATGTCTATCTGACTTGAAGGCCAACGGTCTGTTTATTTGTAGCTGATGTTTGAAAGCTAACAGGAAATGAAGATCCTGCATTGATGGAGCTTTTTGGGTAATTTGGATTAAAATCCTCAGTGGATTTGGTTATAGTATCATTATAGGATGCTTATCTGATATCCGCTGGTCCAGCCAGGGGACTGTAGATCTGAAGTACAGGAGCTAATATTGCTAAATCTGTCAATTCTGATTATAAATGTTTAAGAATACACAGCTGGTCACAGTCTATTACATATAGGGATGCATAGCTGCCAAACAGTAGGATTCCCTTGCTGACCACTAAAAGCTTCACTTATCTGTACATTATTGTCCTCACCTAGATCTCAATCCAGTTTAACATTTGATCCATGTAGTGAATAATATAGCTTGTTTTCTTTTCTGACCCCAGCTGACTCCTAGCAAAGAGCCGTATCTTAGTGGAAACCTTGGCACTGGGTGCAAGAGGAAAGGTTTTAGAATTTCTTTAATCTTTGGTCTCCAAACATTTCTAGTGAAACTGGTGACAAACATCTGGTTGTGCTGGAACCAACTCAGACCATTTGGTAGAATCTGATGCAGAGATCATACTAGTGTCAGAACCTAAATAATCCAAATTGTTCATCAACCTGCCTTTCTTGGCTGCTTTCCTCCAAATTGTCAAACAGAATTGATGCTAGCAGTTTGTTTCTTCAGCCATGCAGAAGTTCTTTCATGAAAACCCATGTTGGTCATGAAGGTTGGCTCTCACTACCACCAGATTCCTCCTTTTCATGCGTTTCATTTCCTATATTTTAAACAAAGTGAAATTGTGGGATTGTTGACTACATCTTGTGAACTAAACCAATAAGCGTCCATATACTTGCTGTCTATTGGATTGTGGTTTTGTATTGAGATTTCAAAGATCAGAAAATTAAGAGTTTCCTGATTTCCTAACAGGAAAAACAAAAAGGAGCAGATTGTTTTGTTTTGAATCCCAGACGAGTAACAAAAAAGAAGAAAAAAACAACAACCAGTTATCTGTTTTCTAATTCCAAAATGAGAAAACAAATTTAAACTTCTTTTCCTCCTGATTCATCTTCCCCCTCCCCTCTCTGTTTCGTTTTGGTAGTGATCCATGAGCTGTCGTAGCACCAGCATAGACAGGTTTTGCACCAATATTTGTCACAAACTATTGCATTTATAGTTATTGGCAGTTTGTTGATTTAATTTTATCATATACACAAATGCATTATATTGAAATAAAAAACCATAAATATCTGATGGACTACCTTGAGGCTCATACTTTACTTCCTGATCCAGAGCCGTACTGTTTAAAAGTTGGTGGGGAGTCCTTGTCATGTATGCCTTTGGTAGAAATAACAATGATGAGGACAGGTTTATTGAACGTTCAGGGATGCAATTGTATGAATATGTATAAATATTTTGTCCATGGTGGTTTGGATGCACACACACGACTCTTGGGGAGGGAGCTGAATCAGGAACGGATGTCTAGATTTGTCTTGATAATTTTGGTATTGTGAAACGTATAATGAGTCGGTTTATTGGTTTCTGATCTGGGATCTCAAAAGAACACAACAAAAAGGGGATTGTTGTTTTTTTTTTTGTTTTTTTTCTATTCTTTATTTTATTTGGAAATCAGGAATCTGTTTTTCTGATTTTGGATTTCTCAGTACAAAACCAAAATCAAATGGCCAGCATGTACCCACTTGAAAAATAATTACATGGATTCTGCTACTATTTTCAGCATCAGCACGATTTAATTATACATTTAGTTCACTAAACAGTACACTTCCCAAACAGCCTCAGGCTCATAAAAGTGTAGAAAGCCTTTAACTTTAATTGGTGCAGATATATCGTCCAGGATCTCATGGAGACGGACCTCTACAAGCTCCTGAAGACTCAACACCTGAGCAACGACCACATCTGCTACTTTCTCTATCAGATCCTACGAGGGCTCAAGTACATCCACTCTGCCAACGTCCTGCACCGGGACCTGAAGCCCTCAAACCTTCTTCTCAACACCACCTGTGATCTCAAGGTTGGTGTGCAAATACATTTTTCTCTTATTTGTGTGGTATTCCCTAAACCCTTGTCCAAAAAACACTGTCTAGCCTTCACATGCCGCTATGTGTATACATACATAATCAGAATATGTCCACAACAGGCAGGATTGGAACTGAGACAACTGTTTTTGTTTTTATTAATAGTGGAAAAATAATTTAACTAATGTATTCCTCATCACCATGAATCTAACTGTATCTAACTGAATCTAACAAATGGGCTGGTGCACGCTCTTACATATGTTTAATAGACATTCCCTCTCGGGAGCGGGTACAGGGTTGTGTATTTTTTATATTTTTTAAAGTGAAGACAGTGGGTCTTTTTCAAAAATTCGCAAAAATCCTCCACTATACCTTAAGTTCTGTTAGTAAACACTCTTAAACTTGCCAGTTTTCCATTTTTGAGAAATCCATCCATTAAAAGAAGGCATATTTTTGTAGCTCATTTCAAAAAAAGTTTCTTTAAGTTAAATATCTCTAGTCGTTTTTTCTTGTAATTTAATAAATTTGGCTTCCAGATAAGGAAAACCCCAAAGTACACTAGAGTCCTGCAACGGGTCGGGTACCCGTGGGTCCCCGACGGGTCACCCGCTAAAATGCTCTTTTGCGGGTGAAAAATACATAAATAAAAATAAATGGGACGGGGTTCGGGCAGATATTTTTTTAGTGCGGGCGGGTAGTTGGTGATTTTTTTTTTTTTTTATGCATGTGTCTATTGTTATGGACATCAGAAATGTTATATTAATCAGGCACTGGGGTCACCCTTGTTGTAGCTTAAAGCCCTGCCGGCAGTGTGGGCTTCCCTCCAAAAAGGCCAAAGTCAGTGCATACACGTCTGTAGCAGTGTTAATGGCGCTGTTCTGCAGCGCCCGCGTACTATAGCCTATTACTTGATGTGTTAACGGGTCGGGTTGCGAGTTAAATATCAACGGGTCGGGTCGGGTTCGGATTTGAATTGAAGATATCCGCGGGTGACGGGTCGGGTTCGGTAGTCATCCTAACGGGTTCGGGTGGGTGCAGGTTGGTAAAACTCGACCCGTGCAGGACTCTAAAGTACACTATATCAGACTCTGTGTGTGTAACATAAGATCACTAAAACATTTTTTTTTTTTTATCAGGCTCTTGAAAAGCACGCTCATTTCTCTCCATTTAGCTTCACTTCCTGCTTCAACTTGGTGTGGTGTGGATGCAACTAAATATCCAACCAGAATTATTCCAGTAAATCTAGAATAGTTGCAGAGGGCGTAGGATTGGGGGTGATTTGTTGACGGCCAAAATGAAATACCAGGACGAGGTTTTCTGTGTATTTAAAGCTGTAGGTCTACATTTGACAGCATGGCTCACAAAAAAAATATATTTTTGCTCAAACCTTGCACAAAACTGGTTCTTATAAAATTCACTTGTATTTATATAATGACTCAATGTAAGACAGTGTGTTAAATAAATAATAAAAAAGCCACACGAGTCCAAATTAGTGATCATGATGACTTTATTCAAGCTTCTTCTGAAAATGAACCAAAGCATGGTTGCATATGCTAGAGATCAGTTTGTTTATATTCAGATTCTGTTTAATTTTCATGCAACCTGTTGTTTTTCTGCAGATCTGTGACTTTGGTTTGGCTCGCGTGGCTGATCCTGATCACGACCACACTGGGTTTCTAACAGAGTATGTCGCCACACGTTGGTACAGAGCTCCAGAAATCATGCTTAACTCCAAGGTGAGACTCTGCAGCTTCTGCTTATGTTTTAGTTTTTACAGTTCCCTTCACTAGGTGCTTTAAAATGTGTAGTGTGTGTATCTGGCACACAGTTTACTTTTGATCTTTACATTTGGGCTTCTTATTGAGGTTTAGTTCAGTTCAGGATGCTTCCTGGCTGTTACGTCGCGCTGATCTGTGTTCACTCTTTATTTCATTATGTTGTTGTGTAGCTATGAATCTGTGTTCAGCTAATAAGAAATAGTCCCTCACAGTTTTGTTTTTGTTAGCTTGATCCAAATCGATGCAAAATGTATTGATCATTATTTTATGTAATACTTGAGTTATTATCCTTTGTTACATTGATTTTTGTCAATGTTAAACGGCTCATAATATTTTATTAACTCAATTTAGTTGCGAGCCACAAACCCAACCCTTTAATCCTTATATTTACTGTAAATATTTTGGTAATAATGGTTGTGGTTGATGTTACTTTCAGGGCTATACAAAGTCCATAGACATCTGGTCGGTGGGGTGCATCCTGGCTGAGATGCTGTCAAATAGACCAATCTTCCCTGGAAAGCACTACCTGGATCAGCTCAACCACATTTTGGGTAAATATTGTTTCTATATCCAGAGTCCCAAAAAAATATTGTTTCCCTTTTGGGGTGTTCTTACAGTTTTCAAACTGAAAATAAGACACTAACGGTAGGTTTCAAAGGCAATTTCAAGTAGCTGGGGCTTTCTTTGTGAAACATGTCCCAACAAAAGCTCTCATTGGGATAACTGGTTCTTAGAAGGGGAGGGGGTATGATGACTGGGGTGTGACTCGATTAGCTCATGCTTTCTCCTTTAGAAAATGTTAAGCTGTGTCAACTAGGAGAGCTTGCATGTCTACCCCCAGGCATTCACCCTGTCCACAAACCCATAAAGGAATTCAGCTCCTAAAACGAGCTTTAGGCTAAAAATTGTAAAGACCGTTAAAACCAAGCCCTGCTTGTGTTGCTAACAAGGGAAAAGGGGTTTTATTGCATTGTTGTTTTATTCTAAAGCTGATCGACAGAAAAGGAGAAAATGCTTGTTATGCTGAATGTAGACATGAAAGTTGGGTAACTAATGTGTAGATTAACCATTCTTAACTTGACAAAGTTGTAATTCAATTATTAATTTAGTTTGAGCATAGATTAAGTCCTAAGGTTTTTGTTTTTATACTGAGCCTAAAATGTTATCGATTGTGGACCTATAAGAGATCTGACAGCAGCTGAACCTTGTATTAACCCCGGATTCACAGCAGAGATCCGTTTAATTTTATGACCAACAATAGATTGAGGAAAAAAAAAAAAAACTTGGAATGACACCCCTATGGCGTTTTTTCACATAGTCATAAAACGTCATAATCACTTTAGTTTCTAACCTCCTGCAACCTTACTTTGGAGGTTTCTACCAGACTTCTTGAGCAAAAATTAGCTGCTTCCTGTTTTATTTTGGTCAACATTAAATCATTTTCTTTTTATCAATTTTGACAATAATGGTAGAACATTTCTATGATTATTTCATTGCTCCAATAAATGTCTCCCAACAAAAATGAGCTCATATAGTTCTTATAGTTGGATCACAAATCAAATATTAAAGCCACAAGTGGCATTGGGCGGCCCTCGCAGCTCGCACCGCCTGGTATGTCGCGACCGCGGGAACCAAGCGACCTCCACCTCCACGCTCCTTCCCATCCTATGCTCCTGCTCTTCAGCCTACGCCTGCTGCTGCTTCTCTTATCCTCCCCCTCCTTCTCGTTCTGCTGCTGCCACTGTTTCTCATCCCCCTCCTCCTCCAGCTTCTCCTCATCTTCCTCATGCTCCTGCTAATGGAGCTTCTCCTCATCATCCTCCTGCTTCTGCTTATCTTCCTGTGTCTCCTTCTCCTCCTGCTGTCACTCTTGCTGTATCTCCTTCTCATCCTGCTGTCGCTCTTGCTGCATCTCCTTCTCCTCATCCTGCTGATGCTCTTTCTCTTTATCCCCTGCCTACTGCTGCTTCTCCTGATCCTCTTCATCCTCCTTATCCTGCTTCATTTAATCCTCCTCCATTCTCCTTCTGCTGTTTCTCATCCTAATCATCCTCCTCCCCCTGTGCTCCTTGTCTGCATATTTTTTCTTCCTGCTGCTGCTCTCACTGCATCTCCTACTGCTGTTTGTTTTTCTCATCCTCACTATCCTTCCCCCTCCTCCTAAAAGCATGGCTTTGGATGACTGGAGTTAACAGTTTTATGCTTAGCCACGCCCACATGCTCCCATGTAGAATAATAATTTTTATAACTTTTAATTTGCTATGACTATAGTCCATGTAAAGTTAATTTGAAGTCTCAAACTCAAAAAAAACCAAGAGCCCCTCACTCAGATATGTCATGACCTAAAAAAAGAAAATGGTATCTTTTTATCCAAAATGGCCCAAATTTTTTGTTGGGTGTGGACCATGGCTCCAATATACTTTTTTGAACATCGTGTTCGGCTATACAAATTTAATAATCCTTAATAAAAGCAGGGCCTGAGGCAGTTTAGTTTATACTCTAACGGCACAGGGTCTGATTTTGATGCTTGGCCACGCCCACATGGTTTGTCACAAA